CCCCAAAACCCCAAAACCCCAAAACCCCAAAACCCCAATTAAATATGTTCTAGAAGAAATAATAGTTTGCAAAATAAAATGCCAGGAAAAACTCTCTTCAATGTTGATTCTCCAGGAGAATATAGTAGTATAAACGTCTCTAAGGCTAAATCTAAATGGTCTTTTCCTAAAGATTCAAGATTTCCGAAGACTAAGCAAAGTTATTGTGCAACTGCTGCCTACGAAATACTTAAAGGACCTGACAAAGCAAAAGGAACTTCCTTCGGATACGGGAATAGATTCAAGATGAGACAAAGTAAGATTACAGCCTGCTATATTAAGCCTTAGAGAACCCCATAGACTAAATTTTGTCTTTCAAAGTTCAAGAACTCACTTTTAATTGTCTTATTTCAAAAAGTCCCTTCACATATTTTGATTTAAATATTTGTCCCAGCTGTTGTGTTGTTTTGCGCAGTTTTTAATTACTCTTCCCAAGAAAGCATAGAATACTTCATGCTTTAAATGAGGCCTCAAAGAGTTCTTAAACTCCAAATATTTCCTTCAAAAGTGGTTACTTTCAAAAAAACCTGGAGAATTTTTGATTTTATTCTCATGTGTCTTTGAAAGACTGCCATGAGAGATTTCATTTAATACTAAAATTAATTTTGGGTTAATGTTTTAAGACTGAAATATACTCTGACTAATGTTCTTTACGTTTTATGAATGAGTCAAGTTTTTAGGCAGTCTTGAGTGACAGCTACTCCTTTACCTATTTTCTTTGTCATTATAAATGAATGTGGTTGTGTCCAGATCTTATAATACTTAATCCTTAATCTAGATGAAGCAGCAGGCAAGAGCTTTCTTAACTTGAATAACTGTTTTGTATAGGTGACAGCCCAGAGCCTGGAAGATATGAGCTTGGCTATAACTATGATTCTAGAAAAGCAGCCGATCCTAAATATTCCTTTGGAGCTCCAGGATCGAGGTAAGTTATGTACCATACTCTGTGAGGCTTTGAAACTTCCGGAACTCTTTGAAAAATTCTTTTGCTTCTATAGAATGGATAACTCATTTTTGAAGAAGAATATTCCTGGGCCAGGATCTTATGCTCCTTATCCTGATTTCGGGAAGACTAGTAAGAAGATGTCATTTGGTAGCAGAACCATGAGCATGCATGGTAAGTTCAGCGGTCTTGACACATGTAGATCTAAGAGGGATGAATCCAGGTCCTGGATCGTATGATTACTCAAAACCAATCGGCCATGGGTAAGTGTTCACTAACATATTTGTCAGCCATTGGTTGTTGAGAAATATTCTGACTTGTCTTATAGCAAGGGAAACATCTCATACAGACCAGGAATGAGATTTAAAGAAAATACCACTGCTGTACCAGGACCCGGGTCTTATAGTCCAGGACATAGTTTAAGTTCATCTATTGAGAGAACGAAGGGTGGAAAATGGGGCAGCGATAGCAAGAAGGACATGGTCCTTAGAAACTCAGTTAGTAAGCATCCCTCTTCAATGGGATTATATAATTTTCTCTTATAGAAAACCCTGGTCCAGGCTCATACAAAATTATGAGAGATTTCGGAAATTACTAAGATTGATGCATCGGAAATTGATTAATTTCATTGTTTGTTCAATAAATTGGCTGAGAAAGGGGTTTTGGGGTTTTGGGGTTTTGGGGTTTTGGGG